GACTGTTTAGGTTAGGTTATAGCCTGTTACAGTGGGTGTCTTTGAGCGAATGTTTGTTTAGGCTAGGGTCAGATGCGCCAACGTTATAGGCCGTCTCTGACCGAGTGTTTGTTTTACAAACACTTTTTTATGGTTACAAATAAAAGTTTCTCGGAAACCAGCGGGCACTAAATTCTACTTCCTCTAGCGTGCTAACAGACTAGAGAGTGTTCATAAACTATTTGTAATTTTTAATTTTTTTAAGAAATATTTTCTATACATATTTAAGTAGGTTTCCATGTAAAAAAAATCGTGTTTCTGGACTCTTTTAAAACATGTGAAAATCACTGAATGAGCGAATAAGGTTATAAAGTCAAACAATAGTGGGGTTTACAAAGTAACTTGCAACAATATAATCAACAGACTTCCGTTTCCATTGTATTTAATATCAATCATTGGGAAGGGGACACCTAAGTTTTTTTAACCCAAATATGAGTAAAGGATGAGTGTAGAAAGGACACATCTGTGTAGCTTTGTTTGCTGACTAAGATCAGTTGTTTCATTAGCCAGGAACATTTGATTTAAATCAAATCACACTGATCAGGAACAGCTGGGTCCAGTTTCAAACCATCAAAAAGCTACTGACTTCTCTCAGGATCGATGGTAACATTTTGATTGTCAGGCAAGCACTATAACCACTCAGCTACCCTACCCAGCCAGTTAAAGTCTGACACACCATAGCCAATAATATTTCAATACTGTTAAAACCCTTGTTAGGGTTCAAAATTAGTTTGGAGCTTAACATATTAATACACCCCCCAGCAAACCTGTCGACTAAGCAAATTTCCATTTGTCTAAATTGATTTTCAATTAAATATATTTTAATAAAATTAGGTTTAACGAGTACCTAGGTTTGCTGCTACAAGGAAACTAATAAAGTGTGTTTCTTAGTAAAATATTGATAGCTTAGTACAAAATAAATAAATTTGCCAAGTTTTGATCAAAATATATCCATAAACCAGCAAACTAGAACATTTGACAATATTCTCCATAAGAATAAAATGGGAATTTTAAATTTAAAATTTTTTAAATTTTCTACGTTACTAATAACCGAACAAAAATACTTTTATATACTAAATTATTTGTTTTTATAAGCTCTTCAAAAGGGTCTAAAGAGAAATTGAGAAATTTTGTGTTTTGAGGGTCAAAAGTGAGAAAAACCAATTATTACCCCATAAACCCCCCCGTAAAGCCCCGTTCCCATGGTCCGATCATGCTGGTTAGCGAATTCATTCAAGTTTATCCCGCTTTACACCTTTAAACCAAATTTCATCAAAATCGGACAAAAATTACTCAAGTTATCACGTTCACGGACGTGTATATATATATATATATATAAATCTATATTATATATATATACATATATAAAAATTTGAACGAATGGTGTTTTTGGCCTCTGGGGACATCAAAATGAAAAAGTAAATCGGTCCCGGGTCTAGGTCTTACCGTGCCACCTACGGTAATAGCTACTTCCCTATAGGGAAATTCGCTAAAAACAAACAATATCGTACTCATGAACCAAGTTTACTATGTATGTGCAAATATGTACTTTGTAGACTTGCATGTTTAACTATGATAAAACTTTCTACATTTTTATGGCTGACTAGAAGATAAGCAAGTTCAATGTACCCAGGCAGTGATGTTTAATGTAGAATGTAGACAGTCAGCCATATCTATTGCCAAGGTAACAATAGTAGAGTAGGGGTCAGGGTAGTCTATTAGAAGATAATGAGAAATCAGACAAGTCTGTATGTAGAGTGAATAAGTCAGCCAAGCTCATTTCTTGGTGGTGGTGAGTAGTCGGCTGAGACTTCTCTTAAGTGGTGGGGTACAGTAACAAGTCTTTTGCATGGTAGACCGAGATAACCAGGTACTTAAATTTTCAAGGGAACTTCTCTGAAGAAGTTATATATCTAAAATAATATTTTAATGCATAGCCTGCTGAAATAAATAAACATCAATATGACAACTTTTAAAACGATGTTATCTATCTCCACAACCCTATTCTTTAGTTTAAGTGATATTTTGTTTAACTATCAAGAAAAGTTTGTGTATAAAATCAAGCAAAAATACTGTTATATCATTAAACACAACTCTGCACCATGTTTTGTATGATAAAGAAATTTTGTTTTGACTAGTCAGAAAAACCTATTTCCTGAGTGTAAAGTTTGTCAAGTGGCCAGAAAAGTTGAATGCCAAGGTAACTTAGTAGTGAGTAAGGTATATTTTGTTTAATTATCAAGAAAAGTTTGTGAATAGGCTACAATCAAGCAAAAATACCATTACATCATTAAACACGACTCTGCACCATGTTTTGTATGATAAAGAAATTTTGTTTTGACTATGACTTAACTTAGTATCTAAATAGTCAGGAAATAGTTATTTGTGTAACTAGTGGTGAAAGTGGCACTTTGCTGCACACGAGAGCAATGTTTACGCACGAGCCGCAGGCGAGTGTGGAATGATCTCGAGTGCAGCAAAGGCCTTTTTCACTCGTGTTACACATTATATTTTTCCTACAGTCACTATAAAGCATATAAATAATTAGTCTTTCAAACACTATGCAACACGTTTTTAGGTTCAGCTGGCAACACAAATGGTGCCCTAGAGAAAGTAGTACCCGCGGTCCATATCACTCCGCTATTTTCCCTCGGCAAGAAATGTGCTCCGCGTTTTGAGAATATAGTTCCGTATGTTTTTGTAATTAGAAGTGGTTTCCGCGCCAAAAAAAAATGCTTAAAAGGTATTTTCTTGTTTATTAAGATCGTAGGAAGGTTTTAAAAACGTTTAAAAGAAAAGTCCAGAAAGTTCAGAAATACCGAAACTATAAACACGAAATGACAGGTTAAATCGTAGTTATAATAGTCAATCAGCTGCTCATAGTATAATTATCTTTAAGTGTTGCCAACCTATTTCCAAGCGTACACGGATTACGTGCATAATGGAACCACGCTGTTTTGTATTGTTTCGTTGGAATCCTGATGTGCGGCAAAGTATAAACCGTACGGCAAAGTATAAATATGCAGCAATTTGCAGCTTTCTGTACTATAAACAGTACAAGGAAGCCAACTTTGTCGGGTGACTGTAGGAAAAAATATTTCCTGAGTTTAAAGTTTGTTAAGTGGCCAGAAAAGGTGAATGTCAAGGTAACTTGAGTAAGGTAGTCTGAAAAGTCTTTTCAATGTCAAAGTGAAAGTTATCCAGTCTTGTTAGTTCTGAGTTTGCCAAGAAATTATATGAAAGGAAAATATTCACTTTTGAGCAGCCAATCACACTACTAGATTGCAGGGTGGTTACACAACTAAAATTTAAGGTTGTTAGGTAGTCAGATCATTAAATTCATATAAAGTAGGGGTTCAGAATATTCTATTACCAGTATTGTAAGTAGTGAGACAATTCCATTTCAAGGTTGGAAGGTAATAAGACACAATCAATTTCAAAGTTGGTTCAATTGAGGTAGTCTATTAAAAATTAAGGTTGTGAGGTAAACGACTCCATTCTAATGTTGTTAGGTAGAAGGTCAATTCCACCTCAAAGTTGTCAGGTAGTTAGACAAGTCCATTTAAAAGGAGGTAGTGAAACAATACAATTTCTAGGTTGTGAGGAAATCAGACAATTCCGTCTCAATGTTGTGAGAAGTGGTGTAGTTCCTAGTCTGCTTTTTCCAAAACTCCACTATATTAATTAGCAATCAATATGACCACCTAGGGGATATAGTAAGCGTTCCTGTACTAGAAAATTTACGACTATTCCACTGATTGTGAGGTGTACAAATTCCAAATCAAGGATGTGGAGTAATCAGACAGTTCCAATTTAAGGTACAGATGTAGTAAGAAAATCAAAATTCACAGTTGTGATTTAGTCAGACAATCCCAATTCAAGGAAAGTGGTGAGTCATGACCATTCCATTTCAGGGGTTGTAGGGTGTTTAGTCTGTTCAATTCCAAATATATGAAGTAGGCAGACTATTCCTTTCAAAGTTGTGAGGAAATCAGTCAATTTCAATTCAAAATTCTTATATAGTTAAAAATTAGTTAGACAATTCCAATTTACGATTCTGAGGTAACCAGAAAATCCCAATTTAAGGTCTATAAGACAATTCCAATTTATGGTTGTGAGAGAGTTATGACCATTCCATTTCAAGGGTTGTAAGCTGGCCAGCCTGTTAATTTCCAAGGCCAATCCCAATTCAAGGTTGTGAGGTAATAGGGCAATTGCATTTTAAGTTTGAGAGATAGTCAGACAATTCCAATAACAGGTTGAGAGGTAGTCAGACAATACCAATACAAGGTTGAGAGTTAGTCAGACAATTACAATACAAGGTTGAGAGGTAGTCAGACAATTCCAATAACAGGTTGAGAGGTAGTCAGACAATACCAATACAAGGTTGGGAGTTAGTCAGACAATTACAATACAAGGTTGAGAGATAGTCAGACAATTCCAATAACAGGTTGAGAGGTAGTCAGACAATACCAATACAAGGTTGAGAGCTATTACAATACAAGGTTGAGAGATAGTCAGACAATTCCAATACAAGGTTGAGAGGTAGTCAGACAAATCCAATTCAAGGTTGAGAGGGAGTCAGACAATTCCATTTTAAGGTTGAGACATAGTAAGCAAAATCCAATACCGAGAGGTAGTCAGACAATCCGAATTCATGGTTGAGAGGTAGTCAGACAATCCGAATTAAAGGTACCTAGTAGAATTTTAAGATAATCCCATTCAACAGTAGCAAGGCAGTCTGACTGTCCACAAAAAGGTGCCATATCTGTTTATTTGTGTTCGATCCCTAATAAGGTATTGCCCCCAAGTTCAAAGTAACAGTGTTGAAGAATAACTTTAGGGATTAGACGCAGTTCGAAAATTTAGAGTGACTGCTTAGCGCAATGAGTGGTTGTAGGACAGAGATTCATATACGTTACGCTAATATACATATTAATTGAGCATAACTGATACCATACATTTTATTAAAACAAATTACAGGCAGTGAAATAACAAGACAATTCCATCTGCGGTGGTCAGATTAAATCATACCGTGCTGTAATTCCCCAAAATAAATTCACACAAAACTAAATATTTTTTTAGTTTAATCCACAAAATAAATGCCCTTTTTAGGATTACATAACTAAAAAAGAGCCATAACAGTGTCAAATAAGTTGGCCTTAGGCAAGGGCGGACGGTGCGGCCACACAGGGCCCCTCGCTTGGTGCAAAATACAAAAAAATCTAAATATATAATATACATTGAGATTTTGGTTAGTATTGATGGGATACTAATATTTTGGTAGTAATGAAGGGAATGTTATCCCGTTCCAGGCCCGTTTTTGACCCTGTCAGCGCCCTAGGCACATCTAATAGTAGCGCCCCTTTGCAATATATATATGACAGGGTGTCCACCGACCGGGAAATCCGGGAATCATGCAGGAGATTTTTGAACCGTGAATTTTGTATTTCTACCTGGAGTTTTCAATATACCGTGATCGCGCATGACAAAAGTGACGTTTCCGTGATCGTGGGAGACGATAATATGTCTAGCCACAGCCGCGAGGGATGATCAGAATTTTCCGCGATCGCAGAAGACAATGATGGTATCTACAGAGCCGCAACGAATAATCAGAGTATTGCCGCGATCACGGAAGACGATGACAATGTCCACACGACTGGATGAGGACATTATTAACATTTTACAGCAATCGCGGGAGACAATTACGATGTCTTCACAACTGCGGGAAACGATTACGATGTCTACAGAACCGCGGAATACAATAATGATTTCTACACGGCCACGAGGGATGATCACAATAATGCCACGATCGCTCAAGACGATGATAATGTCCACATGACCGCGGGAAAAGATCAGAATTTTGCCTCATTCGCCAAAAACGATTATCTCCATATGTCCACGGGAGATGATTACCATTTTGCCGCAATCGCGGGAGGCGATCACTATGTCCAAACGACCAACGGGACAATATAATAATGTCTTCACGGCCGGGAGGGGTGATCAGAATTTTATGACAATTGCGCAAGACGATGATTATGGCCACACGTATCACAATATCAGAATTTTGCCTCATTTGCGGTAGACAATGATAATGTCCTCACGACCGCGGGATATTGCCTCGATCATGGAAGACGATAATTTTATGTCCAAACGACCTGACTGCAGAAAATAGGAAGAATCTCGCCGCAAACGCGGGAGACGATTACGATGCCTACACGGCCGCGAGGGGTTATCAGAATTTTACCGTGATAGCATGCAAATACTACCACGATTTTTTTCAATTTCCAAACTTTTGGCGCCCCCAAAAAATGCCAATTGCCTCGCGCCCTAGGCACGTGCCTACCGTGCCTATTCGGTAAATCGGCCCTGTCCCGTTCTGAATGTTTGCACTGGGCCTCACATCACCCGAGGCCAGTTCTAAATGTCAAGTATTTGCTAAGGTTTATTTAGTTCAATACAATACATGTGTGCTGTCTCCACTACACTTATATTTAGTTCATTATCACAAACATATCTCTATTGCAGCAAACATGCAGACTGAATGAATAATTTCTGGTTGCTCATATGCGGTTTTTTAACAGGTTCATGAAAAAACAATTTAAAGCAGATTGTTCTACCTTTGGTTTTCGGCTGCGGGATTATGAATGTTGTATAGGTAAATCTTTTAGTCAATGATGAGTGAAAACTGTAGTTAAAAGAAAACTTCAGCTAGGAAAACACCATCCTTGATACTTGTGTATTCAGAAGGTACTGGGAAACGCAACCCAATTCCCGGGTAGGAAAATCTGCATTTACACTTAGATTTATGCTCAGTATAGATAACATTGTATAATTCAGGGTGAAAAATATTTAAGCATATATTAAACTAGGTTACAGGGTAAAACTAATATTGGGGTGTCAAATCAACCTTCCTATGGTACAATCTCATTTAATTAGGTTTGATTTACTCGTTTGATCCAAAGTGCTAATGTCCATAAAAATCAGAGAATGTGTACAAGAGTTTTTGTACCTAAAACCACACATAGGCCTATACACAAAACAGCTTGAAAAAAAGGGTTTTTGGCTTCTAGGGAGCTTAAAAATCCCTAGAGGAACTATGTCTTGCCATGAACACTACGCTACTTCTCTTCATAATACACAAAAATTAGCTGATAATATAGACTAAATAAAAAATAAATGCAGATACAGCAAATTTTCTGAGACTTTCTCATGTTAAGGTAACTAAATATATGAATAAAATATGAGTATAAGTGTACAATAAACTTACTATAAGAGCTACTTTTCATTAAAAAGCTAACAATGATTTTACTTTTCATATAACTTAGTGTTATACACTTTTTAATACCAAAAAAGGAGAATAGGTATTCAATGACATGATATCAAAGAGCCATGCTGCAAATTTGTTGCTTATCTTGTTTACTGTACAATTTGAAACAAGTAAAGGATCACTTAAACGATCAATTAAGGGATCACTTTAAGGGGATTCTTAATCTGAATTAAAAATATATTTATATTAGAAAAAATGGCCTGATTAACAAGAGAAGACCATGATAGCTCTTTGATCCTCCATCTTTGTGGTCTTGCACTAAACTCACAATATCGCCTATTAATTGACAGTGCTCAGTAATCCTTAACAATACTTTGGTATGGTTTGTGTTCCAAATGTGCAGACAGTTAACTATTTTTAGTAACAACAACACATTTTTCATATTGAATATGATATGCTTAAGGGAACTTTAATCTAAAGTAAGTGAACTGTAGGTTTTTTTTTTAAATATTGATATACTTTTTTTTTTTTTGAAAAGAAAAAAAAATCTGACTTTTCTTGTTATAGTTTTAACTCATACCCTATAAAGCTTCAAGAACTAATAACTTTATCTCAAGTAACTTAAAAGCTATTATAAAGGTCTATTCACACAGATAAGTTCTGGCACGTCGCAGTTCAGTCACACCACAGTAAAAAAAAATATTCTTTAATTAATTTCCTTTTGTGCTATACAGTCATCCGGCGCAGTTCCAATGCTGGTCCGTAAGTCAGTCAATTTCAGTTTTCTTCCCATCGATATTTTGGGATTGTTTAGATGCCTGGGGAATGTGCAATGTACATGTGTTTGACATAAAAAATACTGTTTTTTATTATTCAAAATATTGTGTTTATGCTTCAACTACTGTTTGTAATTTGTACCAACCATAACATGGATGATGAAAACTTTAAATAGAATATTGTGTTTTAATAAAAAATTCCAGACTGTAACATCACCGTATTAAAGTGACGTAAGACTGACTGAAACAAAATGACGGACAGTTGACCGAGGAATTGCGGATACAACTGAGACTTAACTGTGACTGGACTGACGTGTGTGAATCGACCTTAATGAGATAGCTAAGAAGTATAACTTAATATTCCTTTTCATAAGAGATCTTATAAAACTACATACTAGACCAATATTATACATTTAAACCTACTCTCAAACTGCCTTAACTTATATTGGTGATGTAAGTGATTTTTGCAAAGCAACAAATATTGATTAATTATAAAAATACCATCCTTAATACTATTTTCATGCTGTTGGATTTTTCTTCATCAACTCCAAATCTGCTTCCACCATGTCTTTCACCAATTCCTGAAACAAGAAAGTGTTAAAAATACTCAAAGGTAAGGTATACAGTCGTGAAGTTGCTGGGTGTTCCAGCTTTCAGAAATAAAATAAAAGAAATGTATACAACTGTGAATGAAGGACCTCAAATTTTGTAAATAGATTAAAATAGAAATGTAAATAGAATGTTGTGCTCGTATGTATACTTTCTGATTAGATTATACTTTCTGTTATTAGTTTTATTTAGTATTAGTAAATTGGCAAGAGTTATCCTGTAAAGCAGTATGTACAGTACTGAGGAACGCTTGCTAAATAAAGGCATTTTTGATTTGATTTGAACGAGAAAAGCATTAGCAAGTGAAAGACACAAATGATTTGTCTCAATAGTCAATCGATTATCAATTCTTAGAGATTGGCATACTTGGGTGTGTATTTTTATCTGGATATGAATGCAAGGCAGTGTAGAATGAAATGGGATGATCTGTGTAGCTTTGTTAGTGACTAAGACCAGCATAGGCGAGTCCAGGGTCATGGAAATGGGGGGCCAAGCCTTTGTTTTGCCTTTGGATGCAAGATTTTGAAAAATTGGAGCTACGATAGTGAGTTTTAACGATTTGTTAGCCTTTTTTACTTATTGAAAACGTTAAATAACAGTGATTGCTGTGCGGCCTTGATTTTGTATCATAACACATTTTCTAGTAAAGACGAATACCAGTCCAACGTGGTACTTGTCTAGAACAGTCTACTTCAGTTTTAACGGACAGAATTCTGACTATAGTTAAATGATTCATTTCTTAGGTTTTTTCCTTGAGCGAAAAGAGCCTGAGTAACTTGCTATGATGCCACTGCCAAATTGTCTAACTGAAAAGATTAATTGGGACAGTTAATTCTAATCGCAAAACTAAGGTAAATGAACCAATCTCGATTTAAAAGGTTTCTTTATTGTTACAATGTATTTTTATTTTGTGACTGCTAACATCTATTAAATTATAAACTGTTTTTGTGAAGGAACGATCCAACCCTAATCTTGTTACCATCTGATGTATTTAAGTTGTCTCGTAGGTATCTGACTGCAGAATGTTTGAAACAACCATCTGAAATGGGGAGAAAAGGTAGGGCTTGCTTGTCCCAGGAGGTATTCTAATGAGTCATAGCCTATACTGTGTGTGTAGCTGAGGCTGCATTTTTCAGTTGATCAGCCAACCCAACCCCTTCTACCCCTGAGAGTGGACCCAGCACTTTTTTAGATCTAACAAGCAACCTTTAGATTCGATGGTGAGGAACTAGAATGACTGAAAGACTCAGTTAGGCCTACCTAGTAATAATAATTCCAAATTTGTTGAAAAGTAGATTTGCTTTATCTGGAACCTCTACTAAATATATGCTATAAGGTATCAATAGAAATTCCCAAGTTCTAAATTAGAGTTTAATATTACAATATGTTACTTTCTTACTAAGGTTGGAATTCTACAACTACTATTACCTTAAATGTGACTCTGGGAGCCCATCCAAATGCTTTCCTTGCCTTCGTTGAATCCCCGAGTAATAGGTCCTACAAACAATTGAACATTTCTTAGACTCAACTATTCGGATCTGAAAATATCTGGGTCACATAAGGTGTTGCAACATAAAAACATAAAAATACAACAGTACAACATCACATATCCGGCCTATGTGGGATCGAGCAAGGCCCCACTAGAAAAAACAGGCCATGCTGCAGGATCCATGACGTCACACTAGTGTATAGATTTCATTGATAAACCCATTGCCATCACGATTCCCATATGTTTTAGGTATATAAACAAGCTGGCTGTTTCTAAGATTTTAATGGTAAGAGTTTAGTACAACTATCCACCACTGTGACATAGTGTTGCGCTGCCCATGCTGCAGCATGGCCTGTTTTTCAAGTCTTGGATCGAGCCCCTGGCCGGATAAACCAACCTATTATTAAAACCATGATTTGTATCTAAAACATCTTGTTATTGGTTAAAAGTAGTGTTTCTGTTTAAGTCTCTTTTTGGAGTCTAGCTCAAATGAGTAGAGAAATCACTAAAAATGTATATGAACAGGAAACAGATAAACCTGAGAATGCTCAAATCATGGAGACTACTTGTACAGCTGTGGGAAATATTTTTGGTATCAATTCTGGGAAGTGACTGGATAAACCGAGGATAGGAAATTCCGAGGCCGGTTATTAGGGGTTCTACTGTATTTTAAAAATCTCTATGACAAATTTAAGTTATCATGCATTTACCCTAAGATGTATTGTTTACTAGAGGTTAATTTTTGCTTAATTAAAAAACACGATTGAGGACAGAAAAAGCTAGTTAAAGAAGGGGGAAAGACTGAAGATGGTTTGGCATTTATCACACTTCATTGATTTTATTTATTTATTCATTCTTATAATAGAACCATTTAAAATTATTGTATTTAAAAAAGAACATTTTCCTCCAAGTATAAATCATCAAAAATAATAATTAATTCCAAGTTAACACGTTCACTGCGGGTGTATCCGATCGGATACATGCCGAGCGGTGTTCAGGTGCTGTCGTAACCGATCGGATACGCTCGGCAATGCCTTTCGTATATCTTAGTTTTTGCTCTAGCGTCGGTCAAAGGCAGACCTATACCACGTTAGCGTGTAGTGGGTGACTTGCTTTTTGTTGTTTTGTAGGTTGGTAGTAAAATTTCCCCATAAAATCTCCGTCTGGCAAACTTAAAAATCAACTTGGTGTCCCATCTTTCTCTCCCCAATTGGCAATACAATGGGACCGGCTACTTTCCATGCAGTGCATCTGTGGGTGTTTAGCGAACTACGTCGACTCTTGTCATAAAGCAGGACATTACCGTACGTTATTTGCTATTCGTCATACCGAAATATTTCCATATCTTGGCTTCCGCCGATCACCCGGGCAATCGGGTTTGTTCGACGCTGCGCCGCACTGGGGCTACGCCTGCCATTTGATGGGCCGCAGCGAACATGTTAAGTTTTTAAAATAGCATATTGATTTTTTTTATCTCTTTAACCTTGCATTTGCCCGTCCACATAGGCTACTGAACCTGTACATGGAACGTATCCAGCAAAGTAAGGAGTGAATGAATACAATAGTAGGCCTACAGGGGTGAAGTATTCTGATAAAAAGTAGTTGCAGGCACCAGGATTCCAACCCATAACATTCTTGCCTTGGGTCTGAAGTCTGTGGCGCTACTGACTGAGCCACCGACTATCCAAACTGTTAAATATTAAAACAACTTTTAATTTAGCGGAACAACTTGGCACAGATAAACCCGAATATGAATCGAAGATGAGTTTTAGAGCTTTATACTTATCTTTGGTTTATGATATGAGGATCCGTATGAGCACTGACTTTTGGATACATAAGTAGACATCCCTCTATATAGAACATCTGTGTCCAATTGTTACTCAAAACGTACATTGTCCTGTGAGCCAGTCGCAGATTGCACTTGTGTCTAAAATTCTGTTTTTGTTCTTATTCTTTGATACTGAGATATAGTTGATTGGACATAAGTGATGCTAAAGCTTATAATAAGTTGTCCTCTAAGTTTGACTAGGTTAAAAGCCCAAATATTTGTCAGAGGTCAGTAATTTACATCAATACAATCTGTAAGGGCTCACTTTAACTACAGTACCCACATCAATTTTAATTTAAAACTGGCGACAACTTTAACATGGAGATGTAATGGCTAGTTCTATCACAGTCAAAGGTATTTGTGACAGATTTATTTAGTTTTGTGATGCTGATCTTTAAATGTACCAACAAGTACAGAGCCTGAATATGGCTACTTGATTAAGTCGAAATCAGTTGCAATAAAAAATGCAGGGATTGTATGGATGCAGGCTACTATTGAATGTTTGTTCTTAAATGTGATTCAGAGACTAATATTAAACATGCAATATTAGGTAAGCATTACAACCACTAATCTACACATGGTGATGTCAAATATAACGTGTTAGGTAAAATACGAGATGTACAACGTTTATCATTCTACACAAGGCTTTATAGCCATTAGCAAATCATTCATTCAAATTATATGGTGCAATACTTACCACTTCAGTTGGACGGAAGTATTTCGGGTTGACTCTAACTCTGACGACGCCAGTGTCAGCTTCCTTCCCCACTTCCTCCAGTCCGCAGCCTTGCCAGACGATTGTCCGACCTACGAGGCTGAAGGCCGTCTCCACGAACTCGCGCACACTGTGTGTCTCGCCCGTGGCAATCACGTAGTCCTCAGGTCGCTCCTGTTGTAGCATCTGCCACATCGCCTGCACTGCCACATACCATTGACCTCATTGTCATCCATGAGATGAGAACTTTTATCTCGGTGTGAAAACTCTAACTATAGGCCTATATAACTTTAAATGTTTTACTATATAGTCCAATTCTTCTTTTTCGTACCCCTTCGGAAATGAATTTGGATTGTTCAAAAAGACACTTGCAAATTTACTTTTGGAAACTAGAGTAGACATCTCATATATGGACCAGCTGTAGTCAATTGTTTTATTCTAATAGGAAATAGTTTAGTGAGCTACTCGTAGAGAGTGCTATTGTAGACAAGCACTGTCATTCTTTTCAGCTATTCAACTGGTGGTCATTCACTGGTGCACTCGCCCTAACAAACAACTTTACTAATACATAAATTTTCCAAGACCCAAGCCTAAAATCCAAAATCTTAGGTTTTTTTTCTATAGGCCCCCAAATCCAAAATTGAAGCATTTCATCATAGGTACTGATCAAAAATATAAAATTCAAGCGGTGGTCACACTTATCAAGTGGTGTAGAAAGACAAAAAATACATCTCTTCTAAGATTGTTCTTTCAACCCGTGCTCATTTTTCAATCTTGGCTTGGTTAAAATCGAGTGCCGAAAAGAGTCGCTGTAGGCCCTAATGACAAAATATACAAGTTTTGCAACTAAAGGCATAAAGAAGAACTAAAGGCATATTTTGTGAGCATAAAATATGGGTTAGGTAAGCGAGTACCTCAACATAGTCCTTCGCATGACCCCAGTCCCTCTTAGAGTCCAGATTGCCAAGTTCCATAGAGTCCAACAGTCCGAGATGTATCTTGGCTACAGACCTGGTGATCTTTCTCGTCACAAAGTTCTCCCCTCGTCTTGGACTCTCATGATTAAACAGTATCCCGTTGCAGGTGAACATGTCATAGGCTTCTCTGTAGTTGACCACCATCCAGTAGGCATACAACTTGGCTACGGCTGAAAAAAAAATGGAAATTGAGCATAATCAGAACGTTGGAATAAAAATTTTAATGATAAATTTTGTTTAGTTGTATGCTCCTGCCTGTGGTTGGTAAAACTGTGGTTAGGAAATTTGATTGTGCTAGTTGGGTACATCATGCTTTAGTGAACTTATACGGAACCTTACTATAATTGACTTTTTTTAGGGAACTGAATATTATTGGTCAAGTGGTTTTTTTATACCCAGTAATCAATAAGTAGGAAATTCTTCAATCGGAGCGTTTTAAGGTCACATGTCTGCAACTCACCTGGATGCCCAACAATGCTGCTGGATGCTGGACAAAATACAAGATTGACAAAATGGCTGTTGAAAGTTCCCTGGCACAGCTTATAGCAGAATTAAGCACCCTTCTTGAGAATCAATTAGACAACAAGTTGTTAAAAGTAAGGACTTAGGACTATTACCTCGGTATAAACACCAAAGTAGAGAAGGTGACTGCTGAAAATATTGCTCTAAAAGAGTAAAGGAATAAAGCATTTGCCTCAGAAAAGCTCATTGGATTCAAACGAAGATCCAGGAGGAACAATTAGATACTTAACAGTTTACAATGGATGAAAAAGCAGACAGATTTCAGGAAAATAGTAAGGATATTTATTTCCCCGTGAGATGTTAGGATTTACAGCTCTGGGGTGAGTCAATAAAGATTGTTTTGTAGGTCGAAATGGCAAGCCTATGATAGCGCAGAGCTGAAAACACTGAACTGGAATATGTTCCCAGTTAAACTAGGAATCTTTGGGGGTCAGGATACGTCGTTCACTGTGAATGGAAACATAACAATATGTGATATACGGTAATGCGAGTAAATGTCAGAGTCACACCACCCTGAATTTAGGTGTTGTTGCAAGCTAATAGGTTCTAGAGAAAAGTAAAAAAAAACCTGAGATTTTAAAATTCCCACGTTTTTCTTGTGGAGAATAAGTCAACTGTTGTAGTTTGCTTGTTGTCATATAGTTTGATGAAATTTGTCAAATTTATTAATTTCGTACTACGCCATCAACATTTAAATAATAAACACACTTTACAAGATTCCTTGAACAAACCTAAGTACTCCCAAAACATAATGTTATTCAAATAGGGAATAAATCAAACATGATTAAGGTAATAATTCGGTGCAAATCTGATTAGGCAAATGGAATTTTGCAAAGTCAGCAGGTTTTCTGCGGCAATGTTTTTTCTATTGTCCTATTATAAGGCTATGCAAGGTATATCAATCTATTTACACTCATACGATTCTTATATTCACGTTGAAAACCACAGCCTTTTGTTTATCCCTCCGAGTGTTATATGTCGTAAAAGCGACTCATAACACACTTTGTGTAGTGTTTTGTGTTGCTTTTGCGACTCACAGACACTGTTTACGGCGAAGGCTCTATGACTGACTAAATCGGACTGAACTGGATCGAGTTAGGTATCGTTTTTTTGGCAGATTCTAAGCTTTCTCCCGAGGTCTGTCTCTAAGCGCTTTTTTTTCTCAAGCTGATCATAATTGTAGCAGACAGCTGACGTGCGTATTTGTAAACATTTTGGTTAACCTCGCACCGATGACTGATGTGTTTTATTACGTTTATCATTGTTTTAGTGTTAAAAATCAAAAGTAGTGATATACGTGGTGCATTATAAGAAGATTTAAGTGATTTTGAAGGGCTGGTTCATGATCCTGAAGAAGTAGGTAGTGATATTGATGTAAATTATCAGCCAGATTCCTAGCTATGGTTAGGCTATGCATTCTTAGCTAAACGCTATGTACCAAAATCAGTTTTTTGCCCATAACTTATTTATTTGCAAATCTACTTCCTTATATTATTATATTTTTGGAATCCTCATGAAATTCTGAACAAAGTGGCTATTAAAATAATTGTAGACCTATAAATTATAACAATTTATTGAGCGCAAACATAAATTTTTTCATTTATTTTATAATTTTTAAGAAATGTTAACCCCACAAAAATTGTTGAACATTTTTTTTGTAATGTTTTATATGTTACATTGAAGCCCATAATTTTCCAAACAAAATGATATATAAAACAGTAAACTTTACATTGTTTTTAAGTTTCTAAGATACATTTTAATAAAACCCTGCAATTGCGCAATAAATGGGCGAACATTAAGACCAAAACTAGAGACACTTGGAGGGTTAAAAGCTGAACACGATCTACACTAAACTATAGTTAAAATTAAAGATGAATGGTAGCGGTGCACTGTTAATTCTAATCAATGGACGAGCAAGTACAGTGTCTTGGCGGCCTGGAATTAGCATCCTGATTGAGCGTTAAAATCTCGTCTCGGTTAGGTCCAATGTGCATTGCATCAGGAGTTTACCTATCTGTAGGAGCCTAGTAGAGCTTGGCAGGAAAGGCCCACCTGACATAAACGGTGGTTTGATCAAGAGGAAGGAGTTGCACCTCAAATCATGCGTTTAGCTAAAAAAATGGGAGGAAAAATCATTTAAGCATGCATAAAAAAATCAATAAATACCCTGAGCTCAGGGGTTTAGTCTGACAAAATCCAAATAGACAAAAATGCAGTTGAGTTTACCATAAGGTGATCTTGGATAGAAAGGAGTGGTTTCTTTTTGTGGAACTTGTTGAACTTTCCCATAAAGTTCGGAGGTTGATGCCTGATAGAACTTTACACTCTTCTCAAGACCGCAAGTTTTGATGGCGTCGAGTAGTCGAAGAGTACCAACTGCATCTACTTCAGCCGTGTACTCACTTAGGTCAAACGATACCTGGAACATTTTACTATGTAGAACCAGGCTTTCCTAAGTTGTGCAAAGCCTTATTCAGACTTCCCAAGTAAATGATGAAGTTGTTCCAGGTTTCATGTAAGCACGGAACCTAAGTAAACAAATTTGTAATCTTAAAACACTGACAAAGTATCCTAATCTTGAATTATGTCTTTTTTGTGATCGTTACATTGGTAATGTAAAAATAATAGAGTTGCGGTTGGAGCTAACTATTGTTAATAGTTAAGAAGCTACTGAATAGGATGTTTCAAAAGTGGTAGAGAATCCTGGTGTTAGGCCTACCTTGGCGTATCTGAAACGGTATTTAAATATGTATTAATTAACACGATTTTCTCAAGTGAGTCAACATCCTGTTAAACTTTGTTTTTTACCTTATGTAATCTAGTACAATGAGTTTGGTTGCTATGCTAGGCTTAATAGACAACATAAGTTATCTACTCACTTCTACAGTCCACACAGAACTCTTGTTCAAACTAGACAAATAACCTAATTGGTCTGCTGTTCCGACAATGTTCATTTATAAACATCATATCATAGACAAAAAGAATTAAATATAGACTGTCAGCCGTGCAGTGGTTACCAAGGTTACCATAAGTTCTGGCGCACACCACTGGGAGCGCCCTTGTAGTTACGTAGCGCGTAGGCCGTACTACACGGCGTTACCAGCGGTGTGCGCCGGAACCTATGGTAACCGCAGCACAGCCGACGGTCTATATTTAATTCTTTTTGTCTATGATCATATCTAGAGATTTTACCTTCACATGGCTCTGTGCTGCCAGATTGTAGATCTCTGATGGTCGCACTGTACTGATTATCTTGACAAGAGAACTACTATCAGTCATGTCTCCATAGTGAAGTTTCATCCGACCTTCCTTGTGTGATGTGGGGTTGGAATACAAGTGTTGAATACGGCCTGTATTGAAGGAACTTGATCTTCGGATGATGCCGTGAACATGATAGCCCTTCTCCAACAAAAACTCGGCCAGGTAAGACCCATCCTGGAAAAGGATCAGGAATAACCATGCGTTGTGCTATTAAATTTTCAGCTCTCTGGTATCTGAAAATTATTAGGCTCCATCTCCTAAACAAGCATTTGCAAACAATCAGCATGAAAAAAATACTAGGCCTACTAACATAGCAAGGATTAACTTAATAATGAAAAAATAACTTAAGGTGCTTGTTTGTAAATTAAGGCCTCTAAAAGATCCTGCCACGGCGAAGTGAATTAAGTTAGTTCAAATTTGAAACCAGCGTCATGTTCATTACTCATCCACTATGACTAGCTTGTCATTAATCAACAATTATTCTTGTCATAGTTAGCAAAAACAAGCTGAGGGAAAATCTATGACCTTGCCATATGAGCAATTACATTGTAAGTTAGATTGCTGTGGTCTAAGGCATCAACTACTATTCAAGTCTAGCACTAGATGCAGTGGCGTAACTAGAACATGGTTTTGGGGGGAGAGGGATGGATGAGCCGTGCGGGGGTTTTGCAGGAGGGGTTTGGGGGGTATTGTAAACCCCCCAGTAAAAAGGGGGTCCAGAAAATTTGGAAAAATTAGAACTCCAAACTCGCGTTTCAGGCATTCCAGAGGTGTAATCACGTTCAAAAGAACTAAAAAAATCAACCCAATTGAGGCTGTCTCAGAAAGACAGAAAATAGTATTTCTAGATTACGAAGTACAGTATCACTATCGGTAAACACACGTTTTACCTGCCGTCTGCGTGATTCACAACTTAAATTACAGTTTCTCCAAGTTTTTTTAGACTTGGCTGACATACCCTCCCGACAGCCCTGACACCATACCAGATAATAATACACAACATTTTACGAAATAAAACCAATGCATTTCAGAATGACAAGGCTCATTTAATATTTGTTAGATACTAAGTGAACTAACCTAAAAGCCGTCTGGCGTCTACTTAGTGATTACCTACAGTGTTAAAACTACCACTCTCCAAATTTACACCCACTACCTGGATGTATTTATTAAATAAACCTTTTAAAATTAGTTTATACTAGGCCTACATACAAATCAACTAATAATTAACGATTTTGATTAATACAGTAGGCCTACAACCAAACCAAAACTAAATCATAAGTTTCAGTTATAAACTTCACCCAACTGTATTTTAAAGAAGTAGGATTGCTGTGATACAAATATTTATTTTCATTTTAGGTTTCTGGGGGGGGGGGCTCTATACCCCTAATCCCCCCATAGTTACGCCACTGACTAGATGATTAACATGAATAGTCATTTGACCTGGAAAATTTAAGTAAGGAGTGAAGGGAGATTGGACATGGTTTAAAATATCTGCACAATGTTTTGCACAGTGCCAGCTGCAGCTGCAGTCATTAATCAATCTCGTTTGAGATAGTAATAGGCTATACGTCAAAGGCATTTTGGATGCGGATCGTCTTGTGACACAACAAGAGATTGCTCGGAAATGATAAGTCTGTATTTGACTATTGAGGACAACAGTAAAATCTAGCAAACTTGGTCTGCAGGCAAATTTTCCTAGCCTCAATCATCTTCTTTATGGAAATTCATAACCCGCTGCCGGCCTCGTAGTGCAAGTGGTTTAGGTAAAAAATAACCATGATCGTTTAAGTTATGGCGAAAAGAGTTTGATAGAGATGTTAACTTAATTTAGGCTACAAACAATAATATAACTTAGGTTACTCTAGTAGATTGGTAATCAAGAGAAGATTTATGAGATAGAACATGGAGGCTTGGTTCCTAGAATAATAAGTTAGGCTTTCAACATGCCTTGGCTATAATGAACCGGATCTAAAAAGGACATACCTAAGGTTCTGGACTCCAATTTCACTGTGTCCCATGAGTGACTTTGACAGTCTAATATCATTGATCATTAAGTTAAATAAAGCATTGGGTGAGTTTTCAAGGACACATACAGAGAAACTGTAAACGTCAGCTATTAAAAGTAACAACTTGGGTAAGAATGAGAACATGAATTGAATCTTAACTAGGCCTAGGCTTACCGGTTCTACAATTTAGATTAAGTTACTTACTTGACCAGTAATTCCAGTTATAAGAGCGACTTTTGTATCACCATTTTGGTTCATTCTGTCACTTGCAGTTAAACTGCTAATTTAGTTTATGTTGAAATCTTAGTGCATCCAGATCCAACCGGGGTTTGTAAATTATTATGTTAACGTTCAGCTAACCTATTAGGATATTAACTAGAAGTGAATCAGTGACAGCCTTTGTAAAAGACGTCTCTGAACTACTTTAAAAGTAGGATAATTCATCAAATAATTGACAAGATTAAAATGTTATTAACCGGTTTTTAGAAACCTAATCTCGTATCATTGTTTACGCATATCACATGAAAATGACAGAATGACAGAACGACAGACGTCGTGTCTCAGACACTGAGCTAAAATTATAACTGGAGGTAGCACTGCCATGGCAGAAGTCTGTCAAAAGCGAGTCGCTGATTTTGTTAGGTTGGTATAGCAGTAAGTTTTCTTACCATAGCAATAACATGGCTTCTTATAACTAGGTTGGTATAGCAGTGAGTATTTTTGTCATACTTGAATACTTTTAATACTTTAATAATTTTCTTTGAAATGGCGACCATACAAAGTAGGTATTTTAAGCCAAGTATAATAATAGTTATAGCAATAATATGGCTTCTTATGACACCAGACTCACGCAAACATGGCGGCTGGCGACACGCATCTTTGACATTCAGTGCTACCTCCAGTTAGAATTATAGCTCAGTGGTCTCAGATCAGCAGTGTTGCCAACTGAGATTTTCCGTCTTTTTAAGCCAATGAAAGTAAAACTTATTATAACCATGCAGTTTCACTGTTAATAGACTTTGAATTATTAGTATATATTTATGCTATAGTTAAGGTCACAAGCCTGTAAATACATTTAGTCTATTATACATCTTTGTTAGCGCTGCTTAGCTGTTCTACAACACTTAGATATATTATTGCAGTAGACTGGCTAACTTTGTATAGAGGTTATCCATCTCCTCTATATAAACAATTAACAAAATTGTCTGAAAAGGTGTTAACATTTTTCAAATAATTAATTTTTTAGCGTCAGCAATGTGTCAATGAAAATATTATTATTTAGATCCAAATAAAAAGTGAAAGTATTTTGAGTACTGGTACTGTAACTGGATGTAGTAACACTTCGGCCCAGTAACATTTCGGCCAAACTCAAATTTCTTAGAAAAACAGTATCACTTCGTCCCACTCGCTTTTACAGATGATTAAATAAGCTAATGGAGTAACATTTCGGCCCGACGAAAAATTGACAAGGGTTGAGGAACGCAGTTCAGGTAGTAAGAGGTACATGACCTGTATTCTTTGTAACCACCCTCTGGTGGAATGTCGCCCAACCGTCACCCCTTGCATCCTCTGACCTCACATGACGGAGAATCGGTGGAATCTTACCTAACCTAACCTAACCTATCAAATATTTTGTTGGGACGAAGTGTTACTAGTGGGCAGGGAGAGAGTTGGACCGTAGGCCACATCTGAGGGTTTCGGGCCGAAATGTTACTGGGCCGAAGTGTTACTTGGGCCGAAGTGTTACGACACGCTGTAACTGTAAAGGTGATCCTAGCTCTAATAATGACAAATTGATTGTTCAAAAGTATTAAATAGAAGGAAAGAAAAAAACTTAGCTGACCATAAGGATGCCAAATCTACAAATAAGTATGCATGATTCAGGTGTCAATGTAGACAGGGTGACATTAAGGTTCAGCGGAACCCTAGACAAAACCAAAAGCTGCGCCCCCTCAAATATATAATATATATGTAAAAGTAGGGTAAGTAGGATCTCGCCCGGTGGGCATCCCCCAACCACCGGAACCCCTGGGCATACGCCCAGTCTGTCCGATTATAAAAGCGGGCCTGAGTCACGGCCACCTTTAACTCCAGGCCGCGGCCTTCGAAGTGGCCGCGTAACAGCTGTTTAGTTTGGCAACAGCTAATGGTATTTGTGTATTTACGAAAGCTTGGTTACTGGACTATGACAATATTGACTCCGCTTAAAATGCACAGATATAGATGTTGAATTCATATTGTTTCAGTTTTCAATTCTGTATGTTTTATTTTTGACATTTTAATAAATTGATGTTCATAAATTAAAATTAAAATCAATAAAGTTCGAATTAATGAGCTGATGTCACCTGTCTGCCATGTTATCTTATGGGACGTCTGTCACTAAACAACCCTACTGTACTTGCGACGTTGCCAATTCTACCAGGCCGCGGTCTGTAGTTAAATGTGGCCGTGCCTGAGTGAAGACACTAGACAGGTAGCCTAATCAGTTTATGGTATATCGGGCTAGTATTCAATGCCAATGCGTTTGAAAAATTGTAGCCAACGAGTGTTATCATTGGCTTTGTATACTAAGTGTGAACTTCTCAAATCTTTCCAAGCTTGTTTTGGTTGCGTGTTTATAGTGTTATTCACAAACTCTTTGAACCCCATTGGTCCGTTACTTTATCACTCTAGTGTTGTAAAGCAATTAAACAATGCGCTAATGTGAATCTTTCCAAATCTAAAAATTTTACTGAAAAGGCTAGTAAAAAAACGGTCGCAGGTAAATAAAATTTAGAGCAATGAAAATTAGCTGATCGTTTTCCCTTGCTCAAAATTACAGCTTGGAAAACAAACAATGCTTTCTTTTATATAAGCTGTTATCGAAAATAGCTATTTTCTGTACGGGGTGATGACAAATTAATTATTTCTGTACCTTAATAACCGTTAAGAGTGGTATTTATTGCTTGTTGATAAAAAATGTATATGTAGTGTAAAATACTGTAACTGAAATTAAAACGAAGGAGCTCAGCAAATATTGAAATAGATGCGTGACAATCTTATTAAAGTAAACAAGACCATGTATGTTTAATATATCATTTAAGACCCCCCGAGGCATTGATCGCAGCTGGGGGGCAATATGCTTCATAATCCCCTCTCCCAACATTTTCACATTAATAAACGCCTAAATATGAAAACAGCTACAATTACGCCCCTAAATTGTAATTAACACTGTTTTATCCACGCTTCACAATTACAGATGACGTAATTTAGAAAAATGTGTATCCAGTACATAGTTTTTATGACCAATGGCATGTTTAGAAGATTAATAGATTATGGAGTGAGAGTGATATGCCTTCCGTAGCTTTTTTAAGACAATGCTGTTTTAAGACAAGCTTATTTAGCATAGACTGTTTATTAAAAGCTTATTAATCAATTACAGCTAGGTTCATGGTCGAATCATTGAAAATCAAACGTCTTCTCTCATTCACTAAGTTACCCAGTTATTATAGTCACAAATATTAGTTTAGTAGTAAACAGTAAACAATTATAACCATCAAGACAACGTATAAGCATAGACTAAATAACACAAGCAGATTTCTCATCCCATTCGCTAGTGTCGACAAAATTATGTTTCCATTATTTTTTTTATAACTAAGATTTATGCTTTTATTGTTGGTTAAGTTATATAACCAGGGGAGGAGCTATTGTTTATGACTAGACCGTTTTATTTGATTAAATTAGGGCTGTAAATAACTGAAATAACAAGAAACAAATGTAAACAATCACGCCCCTAGTGACACCGGACGGAACCAACATTAGAACTGTCTTCAGCTGATCCATAGTGATGACAAAAATCTACTAGGGAAAAGTGAGTGTGTTTAATATATGGTACAACTTACCAGAATATAATAATATATAGCTTTACCTGGTGAAAAAACAGTATCTAGAAGAGTACTGAAACGTCATTAAAACAGATTATAATAAACAATTTAACTATTTTTAAATATGCAGTGACCACAATTAGAATAAAAATAGTAAAACCTCATTTAATCTTTCTATTTAATCAATTTCCCGGACAAAGTGTAACTTGACCATCTGACAGGAAGGGTTGGACGATAAATGAGTTATAACACACATTCATCATAAGAGAAGAGCAATTAACCCCCTCCCCCCACCCCCATCAACAATCGCGAAACTGTTATAATGCGGAGAGTGAAAATTCAATATGCAATTATTAAAAACAGATGATTATCCATTTAATTACATGCGAAATTCGATTGTTTCAGTTAATGTTAACTTAGTTAACAAATAACAATACAAATTTTGATTATTCCACTATGCAGGGTGGTAAATTTATCCGTGTTTCGCAACAAGTAATGAAAATAAAATAAATATATTATTGGACGCTACTTTTGCAAACGCTATTTACAACTACGAATTATGGATCAATACATATTTTCTTATAATTGCGTCACCGTAGCATATATATTATTTTGGATTTAGAAATATTCCAATTGATTAGTTTAATCTTTTACCATTATTACCAAAAGTCAATGGCATCAATCAACGGTTTAATATTTTTAGCAAAACAAAAGGTCCATAATACAAAACAAAACACAAAAAAATGTAAATATTGTTATATTATTACCGTTTCTATGGAAACCAATCAAAACCATATAAATACCAAAGTACCCATGAACTTTTGAGATAACTACAAGTCACACCCCAATAAACCATATACTTAAAATGTTCGTCATGACGAGAAACTTTGCTCAAAACTATCCATTATTTCATAAACTGCCTTTTAAGGTCGTTATTCCTTTCTAAAGAGAACTTACCATAAACCTAATTGTCATAATCTTGTTATATTTACTCTATTCTAAATAGTCAGATGTTTAGTCCCCTGTCAAATGTACATATACAGGCTCCCGTGTGCTCCTTCATGAGGCAGGTGTGGGAGTAGTCTTAATCTCTTCGTTTGACCTTGGAGAAATACAATTTCGATGGTGGCACTCTTGAAAATTGTGCGTTTGAACGCCGAATGGTAAAAACAAAATGGCCGCCATCGCAAACTTGTTTTCTTACTTATATCAGTAACCGTTAGGGTTACAAAAGAATTGTTGATAACAAAATGTAGCTATTTAAAATCTGCACCAAAAATATGATTACAGTTTTTATGTAGGATCAACCATTATTTCATCAAACATAATTTTATATTTTTCATAAATAAAATTAATCAGGGTGGATGTAATGTCCCAGGACAGTTAAATATTTGAAAAAGTAATAAAGGGTGTTTCAGTAAAGCGTTGTGGACTGTGCAGATTCAGATTCTATGTGCAAAAATAAGTCAAAAATGTTGTATAATTTTGTTTCGATTTCGGCTTAGTTTAGCCGTAATCCGCCATTTTGAATTTTTTGAAAATAACTCATAACTCAATAGCCCTTCAAGATATTTTTATGAAACTTGGTATAAACTTTAAGTCTAAAACTATTAACATTCTCCGAAAAAATCTTTGATTAGGCTCATCGAATTTCAAA